AGCCTACATATAATGCATAATGAACTCAGATGGAGAGCCAAGGATTAAAATGAAGAAGAAGGGACCAATGCAAACAAATATCCACCACTGGACAGATTTGTATTCTAGCAATTGCAAACGTTCTTTTCTGAGATAACCGGGTCAATAAACACCGGCAACCAGAAGCTACCTAAGAATAACTGGTGTGGAATAACTGTTGCGGCATCTGCCTAATCCATTAAGGAAATCGAAGTACTGTGGTATAACATGCGTGGGATGTGTTCAGTTCATGTGAGACTGCTGTAAGATAGAACACGTCACCAAGCAAGGCAGCGGATGAGTGGAGGAAAACTAAATTCTCAACGAGAAGTGTAGAAAAGACAACTGAAAATTATCAAGGATGTACAACTAAGGGGTTGTGTCTATGTGTGTGCGTGTGTGTGTTGGGGGGGGGGGAGGCGGGGGGGGGGGGGAGGGGGAGGGGGAGGGGAGTAGGATGGGATACAAGAACAGTTTGTGTCACGCTATGGTCATTTATGCTATGATGCATACAAAAGTGTGAGCAGGTGACTGATGACAGGTGTCTAACAAGAAACCTTCAAAACACAAAAATCTTGTGGTTTCCATAACAGGAAACAGCTACTAAGCCCTCACTTGTCACGCAGACACCCATCGGCTGGTCCAGCTCTCCTTTTCCAAACTCAGCCAGTGGTGTGTAAGTTTCTGCGGCATATACCTGCAGAGAACATGGACAACACTGGTGAGCGTACAGGAATAACACGTATTATAGATGGTTGATGCATGGTGATGTATGGATGATGCATGGATGATGTATGAATGTTATATGGATGATGTATGGCGGGTCCATGAATGATGCGCAATTCATGTATGGATGATGGTATCATGGAAGGTATGGGTTAGCATGGTTAAGCCACACTGGAGTATAAGCCACACTGGAGTATAAGCCACACTGGAGTATAAGCCACACTGGAGTATAAGCCACACTGGGGTATAAGCCACATTGGGGTATAAGCAACACTGGAGTATAAGCCACACTGGAGTATAAGCCACACTGGAGTATAAGCCACTCTGGAGTATAAGCCACACTGGAGTATAGGCCACACTGGAGTACAAGCCACACTGGAGTAGAGGCAACACTAGAGTATAAGCCGCACTGGAGTATTAGCCGCACTGGACTAAAAAGCCCCATCTGAACAATTTGAATTGTTTGGCACCAAATAGAGATATTTTTCCCATTTACTACTGTTGATTTGACCATCGTAGTATAAGGCACACCGGCTTCTCTTTGGATGTATTACTGCTAGGTGTGTAAACCACTTTGCTACTTCTGAAGTATGTTTACATTCATTGAAAGATGAATATGCGTCAAACCAGCAAAATGGAGACAATTTCGGTCAGGGATTCAGTAACGTTACCTCAAACAACGTCCTTTTACATCGCCGTAAACTGAATCCACCACAACATGGCACGTATATTAAATAAGGCATTTCTCTAAATGTCAACATGCAAGCCAAGCATACAGTAAGAACACAGCTACAGTACGTCCCGGACTTGGTTGTAGCATTGATGTGTGTCCACTGTGCTCCTTGCTCTGTTCTCCAGACATTCAGCACTGCACCCAGTCTGAGTATGCATGGACACTAGGTAAACCCTAAAGCATATGTGCCAGAGGTACCATTTTGCAAATCATGCTAGTACTAGTATTCATTGCAAGCTTACATGTGAGACACACTTTTATACAAGAAAGTAGTGTAAGAGTAGAATGTAGCCTTGTTTTTTGAACTGTAAGAGCTAATGTACTCTTGCTTTACTTGTACTCTGTGCATGCAGTGTACATCACTTTCTGTGTTCATATCAGTGTTGTCTGATGATTGTACTGACCATGAATCACAGACTAGCAACAAACTGACCATGCTCCACTGTTGTATATGTACTGGGTACTACTCTCTGCCTGTAGGTATTTAGAAAGAAGAACACGACAACAAGCTCTCCCTTACCATAACACGTCCATTGCCTTGATCACCGACTAGAACATTGCCGTAGGCATCTGTAGTGACATGTTTCGGTCTCTGCAGCTGACCAAAAGCGCTGCCCTTTGACCCGAACGAAGTGATATACTCTCCATCGACGGTCATCACCTTTTGCAGGAATAAAAAAATTGAACATTCACACACACCACTGTGGTGACAGCAAGAGTATAGATATAACAGGAGTGTAAGAATAATACTCCAACACACAGTGCATAGCTACTATCATTATGACTGTAGTGATGATAAGGTTACTGGTGTGCAACTGTAAAAACTCAAAACCTGAGGTAAAACATGGACCTGGCACCAACATTTGATTACTATGTATGTATTTATTGTAGCACAGACACTGTTTGGTTTGTGACATGATGTATAGACATGATGTTTAAGAGTCTAACTTCACATCAGCCTATACACTCTTACACTGAAAAGGACAAGTAACAGGCGAACATGGCCAACATGCACTTGCATGACGTACACATTCATTTCTGATTGGATGAATATTTTCCTGCCCGACCCTGTCCAGTGTATATTCAGATAGATGGGTTGTCAATACCAGTAAAGTCTCATGCACACTAGACATGCAAAAAGGAAACAATATAATTCCAGATCTACATGTAGATGTTGCAATTTCAGTGGATATAATTGAAGAAGGTGGCTACTCCAAACTTTGGATCTCGGCTCTTGCCAGAGAGCAACACATTTTGCAGTGCTCTCAGAGCACAGATTACAGTAACGTTCTGAAGCTCAGCTGATACAGGGGGAATTCCCCGAAACACTGCATGTAGCAGAGGGTGGCACTTTTTTGCAAATTTTCTGAGTCAAACATTCTACTTGCTGATCATGGTATCTAGACGGCAGTCATGAGTCAGTCAAGTGTCAAGTCAATCAGAATGAAGTGTAAGCACCAAAGTTTGGAACAACTACCTACAAAGACCTGTCACAACAATATGAAGCTGAACTTGCTATTCCTTTCATTGCTGCTGCTGCTGCTGCTGCTTCCATTGCTGCTGCTGCTGCTGCTGCTCCTGTAGTAGTTTGAGTAGAAGTAGTAGTTGTTGTCGTTGTAACGTGTTGTTGTTGTTGTTGTTGTTGTTGTTGTTGTCGTCGTCGTCGTCATCGTTTTGTTGTTGTTGTTGTTGTTGTTGTTGTTGTTGTTGTTGTTGTTGTTGTTGTTGTTGCTGTTGTTGTTGTTGTTGTTGTTGTTGTTGTTGTTGTTGTTGTTGTTGTTGTTGTTGTTGTTGCTGTTGCTGTTGCTGTTGCTGTTGTTGTTGTTGTTGTTGTTGTTGTTGTTGTTGTTGTTGTTGTTGTTGTTGTTGTTGTTGTTGTTGTTGTTGTTGTTGTTGTTGTTGTTGTTGTTGTTGTTGTTGTTGTTGTTGTTGTTGTTGTTATTGTTGTTGTTGTCGCCGTCATCTCCGTCGTCATCATCATTGTTGCTGTTGTTGTCATTGCGGTTGTCGTCGTATTCGCCGTCATTGTTGACGTTTTTGCCAGCTGAACATGATAACATACCTGGATGCGATCGTTGCTTCTATCAGCAATAAACAACCTGTTGAGGTACACTGCGATGCCGCTTGGATCTACAAATTGGCCTTGACCACTACCTTGTGTTCCAAACGCATATCCTGTCTCACCACTGCATGGCAAAATCTGTACAGTACCAGTGTACATAGAAGAATATACACCTGTGAGTTGTTGTCTGATGATCGATTAAAACCAATAAACTCAGAGTTACAGCAGAAACGCTTTAGATTCCTCTCAAGTGTGTGTGTAAACCTGTGAGATATGTACCTCATTTGCACACAACTTACAACTAGATTTGGTGGTTGGGCTGTGACAGAGCTATATGAAGCTTTCTTAAACACAAACATGTAGTGATGTACCGGTATGCCAATGGAACCCACATGCATATTCATACATACACGGGCTCACGCACACACGCACACAAACGCACACGCACACACACACACACACACACACACACACACACACACACACACACACACATATACACACGCCAATGCTTGCACATACACGCACACACTACACTACACACGCACACACACACACACACACACACACACACACACACACACACACACACACACACACACACACACACACACACACACACACACACACACACACACACATGCTCGCACATACACACAGTGCACACGCACAAACACACACAATCGTGTACACACCCTCAAGCCCCCACACACAAACACAAGCCAAATGGACCCGCCCACCCACACTCAAACGGCTCCACCCACCCACGTCACACCAATGCCCTCAACCTGCATACCAATGCGCTTGTCATTTTAGGTGCTCATTTCCAAACCTTGAAGGGGAAGGGATTCGAAGGCATCTTGAGATGATGGATTGGCTATCGATCCATCCAACGGCAGATATCTTATACTGAAATCGACTAACTCTGGATGGACTTCGGGACATTATTCCATTTATAGGCTCATCACACATGTGTGAGTGGTTTAGGACATGGTGCAGAAAAGGGTTTAACAGCACTTACCTCCCCCCCCCCCCCCCCCTCCAGTGAACGTAATACTGTAATACATGTATAGTAGATGGCAACACACGCAGTCACAATCTGGCTTTAGAGCACCCACCAACAGAACTAGCTGACACACCCATCAAACATGCACTCACCATCCACCCCCCCCCCCCCCTCCAACACACACACACATGCACGCTTACCAATGCATAATTATGTTACAATCGACTTCCACTAAAATTATCAACTGGGATTGTACTGTGTTAAGAGTACATGATTGATCTGCTGTTACATGATTGAAAACATTCCCACAATTTGATGCTGAACAGTGATATAGGCTAGTTCTATCTTTATGTATACCACAGTACACTGTTAGTGGGTAGGAGAGGGATTTTACACAATACAACTGTACATGTACAGTGTGTACTGTCTGGTTATTACCTGAACCCGATGGTTCCATGTATCCGCCAGTGCAAGGCACTGGCCCAGTGCGCTGTGGTTCACTTGGACAACACCATTTGGGTAGTGGAACTCGCCAATTCCTGATCCACGCCTTCCTATGGTGCTGAACTTGGAGAAGTCTTTGTCAGTGATCTGCAGAGGGGGCATGGAGATGGACAGGAGAAATCACGATGATTTAGAAATGGCAAATAACTTCATCAAATTCTTCGTACCAGTTTTCGAGGAGACAAAAGTTTAATTAACGCTATAAGCAGTATTAGTGCCAGAGACATTACCATGCAAGTGAACGCGTTTAGAGTTAAAAAGGGTGTGTAATTCCAGAAACGATTTTCTGCTGCGGTCATCGGTATAATTTACGGAACTAAGGTTAAGCGGTAAATAAACAAAGGTTAAGTAGTCGCGTGGTGATACAATAGACACATAGGAGATGATGATGATGAATGTGATAAAACTAAATAAAAAGGCTAGTAAACGAGGTGGTGATCATACAAAGTGTAGAAAAAAACACTCGTATAAGGCTAGTATACTCGTACTTGTGTGTGTGTGTACGCGCGCGCGCGTGTGTGTGTGTGTGTGTGTGTGCAGGGGCGGATCCAAGGGGGGGGGGTGGGGGGGGGGGGGGGGTGTGGGGGGTTCGAACGACCCCCCTGTTTTTTCCGACCATAGTTCGGGTGTGACCACTAACCCATGCCCATGTGACGTGCACGCCCCATGCTATGGCCCAGTCGGCCCAAGCCAGATCGGTCGGCTAGCTATGCAGCTTGGTAGATCTACATGACATTGTACTTTGTTGTGTAGAACGTAGATAATACAAAGTAAAGTAAATCTGCACTGAATATACAGATACGCGTTCGCTTCGGAGAAAGAGGTGCATGCATTTGTTGAGCTGCTGCGGAAACTTCGAAAGTAAGTTTCAAATACTAGTTTCTGAATAGTGGCCGTGCAGTGCTGTAATTGTCGTCGCGGCTCGTGCTTTTTGAGTTGTCTTAGAGTTCGTCGAAGCGTCTAAAGAGGCAGGCTCAAGACCAGCTGCCATTGAATTTTGGTGACACTCCAAAGAAAGGTGTAGCCACTAGTTTCGAAGGTAAAACAACGAGCGAAACTTTGGAAATCACCTTCAAATTCAACGTCCCAACAATCCAATAATCAACACTTCTTATGACTGAGACACAAAAGATGCAGGAAGCCTGCCTTATGGAACCTACTGTACAGTGGAGTCAACGTCAGGCGGCTCGGAGTACAATAGTACGGACAATCATTACAGACGAACTGCTGGAGAAAGTACCAATCACCTATTCTGCAGCAAAGAAATTGAAAGCTGCAGAGTGTTGAAAATAGGGGAAATGAAGTTTCATTTGTATAGCTGGCATATTCAAGTACAGGATGCAATATACAGTACATGTGGGCTGTCGTGCTGTACCGATAACGCGAACGTGTGAACCTCTTATACCTGTGTATGTCATCAATGACTCATCATTTCGTCATTGTGGGTAGGGTAGGAAAAAATTGAACCCCCATTGGAAAAATCCTGGATCCGACCCTGGTGTGTTTGTGCGTGCGCGCATGTGTGTGTGTGTGTCCCCCCCCCCCACCCACAAACCACACAAGCTGCTATGGCTTCTGCTGTAGCATCGCTATCATCGCCTCCGGCGATGTGCACGAAATGATATCTAAATTTTTCCTGTATAGCCTCCATCCTACTGTATAGTACTTAGTGCTGGACTCCGCTGAAAGCAGACCTTGAAACCAGGTATTTCAACATGTTTTGGACAGCATTGCCCTGAGGGGCTAGGTCACCTTTCCAGAATGCCAAACCTCCCAGATTTCAAATCAACTCCTGTTTGGACAGCTGCCCAATACATGTACTTGTTTGGATGTGCTCCAAGTAAAAAAAAATAGGTGATGGGATGCAGCTGCTCATGACCTCAAACTTCGGCTAGGGACATCCCCATCTTCTGTCGGTCTGAGACGGCTAATGGCAGAATGTAGTGGTTTAAGACGGTCATGAATTGGGTTTCTCCGCACTGACTGACACCACCAACATTGGCGATAGTTTGCTTCATTGTTCTGTTGATGATTCTTCTCCAAATTCTGCTATCTTGCTTACCACACATGTCTGGGGGCGCGACACATTTCTATCTCCTTGCAATGTAGCTCAATCCTGTGACCTATACCTGTTATCTGCTCTATAAGCCTTTTATCGCCTCTGGTCATGACATGTCACAAGTTTACGGTGTGTGTGTGTGTGTGTGTGTGTGTGTGTGTGTGTGTGTGTGTGTGTGTGTGTGTGTGCGTGCGTGCGTGTGTGTGTGTGTGGTTCTATGTGCACTTGAGAGGGAATGCATGTATGCATGTATGCAGGTATGCAGGTATGTGCACGTTTTTGAGTGTGTATTCTGTTGCTGGGTGGTTGAGCGTGTGTGGGTGTATGTCAGTGCAAGTGTGTGTTTGGGTGTTAACGTGTGTGGGCCAATGTATGAAGAGGAGAGAGTGTGTGTGAAATAACAGTGGTGCTGCCCCACAAATACAGGTTTTGCTCACAACATGAGCCATTAGTTAGTAAGTGCTCATCATTGCAGCAAGAAAACCATTTCAATAAAATTGCATTACAAAGAGGTATTTACTTCTGTATGGGTTATAATGTGGGTATCCAATGACAACATAGTTTGTGTAAAATGTACATGTATGTGTAATTGTATGTTGTTGATTACTCAGGGGTCGTCTGTAAACACATGTATTTACTTAGAGACGTCTAAGAGGCGTTTGTGGTGGGTTCGCCTGCAAGGCGTTTCTAAAAAATACATTTCGGAGTGCATGCATACCATACCGTGTGTGTACATGTACATGATGTAGCACTGCTACAGCTAGTACAGGTAGGCGTTGAGATGCACTACACTGCACTACACGCATCACGGCAGAGTAGACAGGGACACATACACAGCCATGCTCTGTACTCCCAGAAACATGCGCTTGCATGCAGTGACAGGCAGCTAGCTACCAGCAGACTTGTAGGTGTGAAACAGGATTCTTGGGCTTGGTTTCAGGTTCAGGTGCACATGTAGCCCATGACAGTATGACTCAGGTGCACTTGCTTTACATGTACATGCGACCCTACAAGATTTGGTTCGTTATAACGAAAACTGTTCGCTATAAAGCGTCAATTTTGTTTGGGTTCAAACAGGGACATGGACAAGGGTTTGTTATACCACGAAATTCGTTAATATGCGAGTTCGTTATAAGTGGAGTCAACTGTACTGTATAATTATGTGTTCATAGCAATGCATGGTGTTTATTATGAATGGTATTACTGGGTGTTATATAATAGCGGTTGTCGTGAGTTCCCTTCGGGAACGGACACGATAATTTTTTTATCTGCATTTTGGGGGGGGGGGGCTTGCTGGGGGGGCATTGCTGGGGGTGGATGGGTCAAGAAAGGAATGCCTACTAGATGTCTCTAAGTAAATACATGAATTTACGGACGGCCCCCCCCACCGTGTGCGGGTTTTCTCTTTTGTTTCTCTGGGCCTTTTGAAGTTTTTCTGAGCAGCTGGCTTTACTGCATTGTTGATCAATTTTGCACGTTAAAGAGGCTGCTACTGTTTACATGTAATCCTTACAACATGATTGGAACACCGAAACCATACCTGTAGTCGGTGGTTGGAAGTATCAGCAATGATCACTCGTTCATCATCTGTTACATGCACGGCTCCTGGGAAATCGAACTCTCCACAGTTTGTACCCTTCCGACCAGTCGTCTGCTTGAACTTGCCATCAACACCGTGTATCTAAGTGTATTGACAAAAAGGAATACAATTTACAAATGTTAACACAACCATGCACCCATACATAGCCCAGATCCAAACATACATGTAGTAAACATTTGGTTGCAGTTCTATAGTGTGAATCTAGCGAAAAGATCGTCCAAAACTGTCAGTCACACTTACACGCCCAATGTGCTGTCGGCCACCCCATTCCACTTGCACATCACCACCACAGCCAGGACACTTTAGTTGAGATATTGACTTTTCAGACCCTCCAGATAGCTTTTTGGTCCAACAGAGCTCATCAGTAGAGGTTGTTGATAATGGTTGATTAAGATAAAATGAGTGATTGATGTTGTATAGGGGAAAACTTTCACAATTTTACACTTTCCGAGTCTCTAGTGTGACATGCCCTAGCAAACAAAGGGGTTAGGTGATAACCGACAGTTTTATCAGATGTGACAATACAAGCGTGCAGTGCTTGGACATTCAGCACTCGTATGTATGAGTGGCTATTGGCTACTAGTAGCACCTCTCTTTGTTTGTTGATTTTGCACCAATTCTAGTACTGCAGACGACCTGAAAGCATGTCCCAGTAACGCACACTTGCACTGTCTGTTATCACCTAAAGCCTCAGTGTCCTATAGCATGCCACACTTCGATGTAGAAAGCGCACAATTGCGACTGTTTTACCCTCTTATAACATTATCCCTTCATCCGGATCATCCACTATTACCAACCACCACTGATGAGCTCTGTTGGAGCAAAGCAGCTGCCTTAAGGGTCTGAGATATCAATATCACAATGGAAATGTCTTCGTTGCGGTGGTGATGTGAAATCTCCTAAGGGCTTACAATCCTTCAAAGCGAACGTCCACTACAATCTTCGCCGAAGCCAGTGGCTTTGGGCCACATACTCCCTCTAACAGTTCAGAACTATTTCCATCTTGAAGCTCCCCCCCCCCCCCAAAGCATTGCATCATGTCCACTGCATCTGAACTGCCTTTGAATCTATTTTTCTCTCTTCTTGTTCTCTCTCCACCCCCCCCCCCTCTCTCTATCTCTCTCTCTTCTCAACCATTCTACCTAACCTTCTCTTGTCTTTATCGCTAAATCACCCCCTTCTTTTAGGCTATGGTGCGCAAGCTCACGTTAACGCCGAGACCATAGGTCGGTGTTGTGGGCTTGCCTCACCAGCACAGGCTTGCTTTGCAGCCCCTACTCTCCCTGCTGTTTTGTTATTGTATACTCTGTTGTCTTCTCCCCTTCTAACGAGTAGGTTGTGTACTTAGTAAAAATAAAATAAAATAAAAATCGGAATGGCTCGGCCAAGAAAATATTAACGAGTGGGGGTGTCACAGGTATTCAAAGTCTTTTGTGATTTACAATGATCACCTTTCTCCAGTTTGATAGTTTAGAAAAACTGATCACTTCCGAAGAGAAATGACATTCTGCTCATATCAACTTCTCAGCTCTTGTGTTCACTGGGTGTACAGGTTAACTGGATGGTGCAATAACGTAAAATTTAGACTGTTGAAGAATTCATCCAAGGGATTGTCTACTACTGTTTGAGACATTCTTGAGCATCTTCAACCTGACCAATTGGGATCCTTATTTTTCAATTATACAAATGCACACACAGACCCTCCTGAGCAGGTCATCTATCAGAGTGACATTTATATACAAACTGTACTTGTCGGTTAGCATTGTACTGTGAGTTCAGTTACCTTTATTCTGTGGTTGTAGGTGTCACAGAAGATCAGGTCACCAGCTTTGTTGGTTGCTAGTCCGCCAGGAGAGTTAAACTGATATCTCCCACTGCCATATCTACCAAATGAGTACCTTGATTTGCGGATCTGTGTGTAATCACGCTGCAATACAGGAGAGCAGTAAGAACAACACCAAACAACACTAGGACCATAGAGGGAGAAAGTAGTGATGTCAAACCTGGCTGGGTGGTCATACACTTCATACTTCGATTTCAAATTTTCATTGACCTCATGTTTCGTATAAGGAGTAGATGATAGGATATACATCACCCTAAGGTGAGGGAACACATTTTTTGACTATACAACCCTACAGAATTGATCAGAATGGGCAGCGCTATCAATCCTCCGGAGTGTCCATGACAAAGCAGTTTCAAGCGCTGCCATGACCACAACTCAACCTTGAGGCAACAACAATGTAGTCGGCAGCAAAACGAACAAAGGAAAGGACTAAACTAATATCATTTGTAGCATAACTAGTCATATATACTCATGGTTTTGCCCTGCATAGTAAAACTCTGACTTGAACACACACCAGTGTTGTGTGTATGTAAACTATACTCAACTAATACATGATGACGTCATACACGTACCACTATACACCCAGTCATGCAGGGTAACAGACTGTAGGAGAACTTTGATACACCAGCACATGAACTTGTAAAAGTTAGGGGGAACTGCAATCGGGAAGCAAACAAGCACTGCAGTACTGTCTGCAAGACGGGACACTCTGCATTGCCGCGCAGTAAAGAAAGCCTTCAAAACATCTAAAAAAAATAAAAGGTAGACCAACCTTCTGTGGTGGACATGGGGCTACTGCTGCTGCTGATTCTGATGGAGACAACGTGTTTCTGAACAAGGTTGCTAGATATGAGGCTGGCCCTTGCCTGGGCACTCTAGCCGGTGTTTGAGCTGAGGAGGCGCTGGATGACGTCATCGGTGGTGTTGCAGAAGATGCACTGCCTGGTGATGGAGCGGATTGGGGAATAGAGTCACGGCTGTGTGAAGTAGTCGCCATCGGTGGTTGAGCAGGCATAGTACTGGATCTAGACGGAGGTGTGGACACACGCAATTCCAGGGCAGACATACGTGATTGCACAGAAGCTAGGCAAGAATCCACTGCAGCTGAGCGTGAATCCACTGCAGCAATGCGTGAGTCTACTGCAGCCAAGCGTGTATCCACGGTGGAGTTGAGTGAAGTGAGAGTTGATGAGTGGGCACTGAGGTTAGTGTCGATTGTGGAAACTCTCTCCGTCAGTGCATCCATGCCGTTCACTTTCTCTTCCACAGCTGCCACTCGGGTGATGATTGCCTGCTGTTGTGTGGAAATCGTTTGAAGTTGAGTCAGAATGTCTGCAAACTGACTGAAATAGCGATCTGCCGACTAGACAGACACGTAAAAAATAACACCATCCACAAACACACACGCATACACACACATACACACACACACTTACACACACACACACATACACACACACAAACACACACATGCACACGCATATACAAACACACACAGACACACAGACACACACACACACAAACACACACATGCACACGCATATGCAAACACACACACACACACAGACACACACACACACAAACACACACACATACACACACTATGGATTATTATGCTCTGCGTGCACCCAATTGAAGCATTTCTACCTATGGATCACAGAAAACACAAAAATCCCGTGGTGTGTAGTACAACGAGACAATTTCACAAATCAGAAAGAGAAAACTCAATTATTTTGCAAGGAAGAATTCAATATTGACGGAGTGGAGCAGTAATCTCTGTATATTGAGTAGTGTTAGGTACCTCCTCCCGTACCTTTTCTACCTGGCCTGCATGCACTTGCGTACTCACCTTTTGTCTCCTTTTGTTCCGTTGGCCTGGGTAGGTACTTGCGCGCCCATATTTGCCATAGCTACCCAGGCCCTTTATCTTGCCGCTCAGACTTGATCTCTTCCTCTCTTTTCTCACTCTTCAATAATCACCATGTAGTCGTTTCGATCGTCTTGGTCTCTTGTCCCGTCTCTAATAAATGTCGTCTTTCGTATTCAACAGTAGTACTAACTGGTCACTGCTATTATGGATTAAGGGGTCTCGTCCGTAATTATCGAAAAATTATAAAAATCCGTCCTCGTGCAAAATTGTCTCTAACCCACCCAGCCTACCCCATTTTTTCCCGTTAATATTTTGATTTTTCCCAATGCCCAGCTAGAAAAAAAGAACTCCTGACCCCAGGGTCACTGACTGCACCTGTGTCAGGTACATTGTACTAGTAGCTACTGTACTAGTTTGTTTTGTTTCTGGTTTTTGTTTGTTTTGGTTTTGGTAAGTCTACCAACGGCCATGCACGTCCTACAACTACATGTTCATCATACTGGTGTTTGCGATATTACGAGTACAGTCAGTACACTGCAAAGCCAGTGCAACAACTGTATGAAAGTCACTGAAGTAAAAAATATTCAATAAAAGTGTATGAAAAATGGACTTGGAAAAATCAAAAAATTAAATTCCACCAGGACTCCTGACCACCCACCCCCTTTTTGCATGAGGACGGATATTTTAATTTTTTTAATTACGGACGACCCCTTATGGCTCTGATTCACTACTTTATGTTTTCATGTTACCATTCTGGATAAGGGACCTATGCAAATCTATAACAACCCCCCCCCCCCAGTTGAGAACATAATTTCACTGGGCTATACTATGCATACTGCAGATGCACTCTACACCTACGTACACCTCACATGGCTGATGTCATAGGAACAGCCAGTCACCAGCCAGCATGTGATTGTGAGGCCTGTGTTTTTCAATACAATCATCTTGCACACGTCAGTGTTTTGCCTTGTTGAAGTGTAACAGTCCAGACAGGGTGCGCCGCCTCCACTGAAATATCAGCACCCTTATCATGTGTAATATAATGTCATGCTGCACAGCCAGCTAAGACTTAGGGGGCGTTCGAATTGTCTTCATCAACTGTTCGCACAAATTTTTCAGTCGAATTGTCTTGGCGATGATGACGTCCGATCAGATCGACCATCTCCACGTACTTCGTGACGTAGCCATATCAAACTCTTCGGAACTAATCCACCCCTCCCATCGGATGAGGTTGTGGAGTTTCGAGGAGTTCGTTTTTCTGAAGAGACCAATAAGGTCACCTCTTCAGAAAAACGAATCTCCTGGAAAAGTCAAAGAGTGACAATTTGGCGAAAGCGCCCTTAGGGTTAGAGTATGAGTGTGTACATAGGCAAAGCCAGGTCTAATGCATGCCCTGGTAGCTGCACCATTCAGGCATGCATCAGCCAGTATTGCCCATTTACATGTACACATTGCATGTATACCCAGCTAGGCTGTATGCTAACAGTACAGCACAGTGAGTACAAAGTCATGTAATACTATGTGAGTACATCCATACCATAGAGGGAAGTGAGATCTGCAGTAAGTGCATGTGAACATCAGCCGATGTTGGTCTAGATCCAGGATCATCATGCAGACACGACACGATTAGAGAATGCAGTGGGTGATCCGAGCCCAGTCGATCCAGATCTGCTTTGCGTCGGCGACCCTCCGGAACTGATCTCCGCGTTCCATTCTCCAGCAGAACAGTAGCTTCAGTTGGGGAAGGCGGTCGTCCCACAAGCAGCGACAGCATCACCACTCCTAGAGAAAACACATCCAGTTTCTCGTCGTATGCTGTTCCTACTTGTCGGCTCTCTGGCGGCATAAAATAAGGCGTACCGGGGCATCGTGTCAAAGCCGTGACGTCCGCACCTTGACTACCGTGAAGAGTGCGGGCCAAACCAACATCAGCTATCTTGGCTCGCCCTGCCGTGACCAAGATGTTACGTGGTTTCAAATCGCGGTGCAAAATGTTCTTGCCGTGCAGAAAGCGCAAGCCTTCTGCCACGTCGAGTAGATACTGAAGGCTTTGAGCGAATGGCTCTCTTGGCTCAACTCCAATTCGATCAAATAGCGAGCCGGCCATCAGTTCTACCACTATACACGGAGATTGATTGGGAGCAATGCCGATCCCGAGGAGTCGCACAATTCTTTCATGTTGCAGTCGCCGCATGACTAGGCACTCAGTGCCGAATCGCTGGAGAAGAGCTGCACGCCCGACATTGCCCTGTTGGAGTAAAATACTATGTAAGACCTTCACAGCAACAGGGAGACCCTCCAACTCACTTGTATACACAGTGGCATCCGAGCCACGGCCTATCTCGGGTTTGTTCAGGTCAACTTGGACGTATCCAAGCCAAATTGCATCTGGGACACCAAGTCTCTCTTGGAGCTGAGTCTCAAAGTTGAACCCTGCCATTTCAGTAAAATAATAGTGTAACGCACGATCGTCTTGCTCTCGCAACTGTGTGTTTGATTGTGTCCGCGAGTGTTCAGCACCTTGTTATGGCGTTAGACGTACACTGCATTGTGTGTGAGTGTGTGTGTGTGTGGTGTGTGTGTGTGTGTGTGTGTGTGTGTGTGTGTGTGTGTGTGTGTGTGTATGTGTGTGTGTGTGTGTGTGTAGTCTGTAGACTACAGACTGAAGTTTAGTCCCGTTCCGCACTGGGGTATGCATTCCCGTTCTCACCTCCCTGTTTGCAGTCTACAAATACAATATCATGTACAGGTGCAGACATGAAGAGCTAGCTGTCTCTCGCCTCAACAGTTGGTGAACGTTTTGATCGCAATCGGCCACCGGTACCGCAAACGGCGCAGCCGCGTGCCGAAAACGCCCCGTTCGTAAGCATTTCGGAAAGCGATCCTCCAGTAGATCTACCCAGTGCAGTACCGCATAAAAATGAAGCTGTCATGGATCGTGGACAGCTAGCTTGCCTGGCTAGCTGGGCGGCCGACCACAAACTGACTGGCGAGTGGGGAGTAGGCAGATATATTATTATTATGTACATCTGTTGTCGTCATCAAACAAAACAAATCCACTAGAAACCATGGAAACTGTTGGTTGCTCCCTAGTCAGATCCCTAGCCTGAACAGGCTGAAGATCGTGCTATCCACTGAGTCTGTCAGTGTCAGGGAACTCTCACTGACTTGGCTTGACACTCGACGCCAGTTGACGGCTTGACGACTGCCATCCAGGGCACACGCCATACCCATGGAGCCTTCGAGCGGGCAAAGGTGCAAGAAAGCACCAGTCCCTGTTCAATGCACAGTCAGTGTGTCGTGGAATTTATCTCTCATCAGTTGAGCTTGAGTAGGCTGAGAAAGACTGCGCTGGAAGACCACTACATGTACTTGTCTTTCATCGTGCTCTCCAGGCCATAACATCATCAAGGAATCAAACAAACTAACTTTACCAGGTGTTGCGAATCCAGCGCTAATCAATCCAAAGATACCTCGCGAGTTACTAGAGAGGTTGCGTACAATGAAATTTCGACCGGCCGGGTTCGAGTAACGAAAGTTGCTCCGAAGATCCGTCCAAACTTGACCGAAACAGAGCAGATCTACGAAAATACTTTTCGTTACCTGGAGTACTAAAATTCTGATATTTTACAACTCCCTGTCTGACTCTTCGCACCCGCGGCCCGCGCGGCCGCCGCGTCGACCCACCACGTTTAGTTCACGCGTTCAAGTGTGCGCAACCTCACGGTTTATGAATATTCGTTAGCTTTTTTCGTTAAAAATACTGGTTACCTCGTACGAATTTCCGTTGGGTGCAACCTCTCTATGGACTTGCTTGTGTGAGCTGAGGAAGGGGCTAAAGGAGCATACAAGCTTTGAAAGTGATGTTAGAGTAATTCATCTCATAGTACAGAATATGCTACATCATCACCAAATCAAATACCAGTACATTTTAGTCTCTTTGATGCATATTCTAGTATCATGTCAAACAAATGTTCGGCTAGGAGCAGGAGTGAGGAGAAACCAGTAAGGTGGACCTATACCAGCAACACAATTTTAAAAGGTGAAAGGGAACTACACAGATACACGGTCAGTGACATGGACAGATACAGAGTCAGGGATACGGACTGATACACGGTCAGGGACATGGACAGATACAGAGTCAGGGATACGGACTGATACACGGTCAGGGACATGGACAGATACAGAGTCAGGGATACGGACTGATACACGGTCAGGGACATGGACAGATACAGAGTCAGGGATACGGACTGATACACGGTCAGGGACGTGGACAGATACAGAGTCAGGGATGCGGACTGATACACGCTCAGGGACATGGACATGCACTGGTAAAGGGACGTCGTTAGGGTCAGGGACAGGAACAGAAACAATTAGGAATCCGTAATCTGGAGACTGCTAGTGAAGCGTCGAAGCTGGCAAGTGAAGTGAAAGTTGAAGAGAGTTGCTCAAAGGATGAAAATCATAACTTATAACAGTGCTTTTACAAGATACAATCTTGCTAGCTAGAGACCAAAATGAATATACATGTACATGTGATCTATACGCAGATCTATGTAGATCTACATGCAGTAACTGCACTTGACCAGACCCGGCTCTGACCCGACTGCAAGAGTTGTGCCGTATATCTACGTGTACGTGTGCCCGGTTGGTTTGAAATCCTAGATCAGATACAGAATGCATGTCTATAGAAATGAATAAGGCAGTAGATATGCATACGGTACAGTTCCTGGGGTATTCATAACATGAACATGTTTAGACAGTGTGCTGAGAAGAGAACCCGATATTCAATACACTGGTATATGTGCATTGAATTTTGTTTGACACACACATACACACACACTCACATACAACCACACACACTCACACACACACACACACACACACACACACACACACACACACACATGCACACTCTCGCACACACACACACGCACACACGTACACGCACGCACACTCACCACGTACACAAACATACGTACACACTCTCACACACACATGCACACACACACACACACACACACACACACACACACGGTTGGTGCGTCTAGGTGGCCATGAAGTCGAGACCCTAGGTCGACGGAGCTCCCTAAACCTCATCACCACTGCCACGATTCAGGTTGTGCGTGCTTCCCGTAGCTGCATCTCATGTTTGGCATTTAAGTGGTCTTTGCGAAAAAATAAAATAAAAATAAAATAAACACGCTCACACACGCACATACACACACCACCCTATGGCCGGCCGTTAGGCTCCGGCGGATTATGCTCGCGAAATCAAGGAATTATGCTTTTATGGATTCTCGCATTATGCTCGTAAAATCCTCATATTATGCTTTGGCACCCGGGGATATATACCGGTATTCACTTTGTTGTACATGTACTTTTGGAGCCTCAAAGTTCGGGAAATTGTGCCTTTTTTCATACTTGCAAGTTGCAAGTGTCCATACATGTACATCAGTACAAGAAAATACATGTACATGAGTATCCCCATACCAAGGTGTCCATGCATGTACATGAGTATCCCCATACCAAAGTATCCATGCATTTACATGAGTATCCCCATACCAAGGTGTCCATGCACGTACATGTAAGAGGTCTACATGGAAAAGAGAAAACAATACTTCTTCTATTCATTACTTGATTTCTTTTTTACTTCAGCAAAAATATTATTTCATTGCCAAATTAGTTTGAGTTACCTTTGAAAATGATCATGTTCAACTGTCTTCGTAATCATTATACTCGTCCATCCGATGTCACCCCGGGTCTCACCCTGCGAATAATCAGCTCATCTCTCCCGTAGCTCCACTTCTCCTTCCATCATGACCGAACATCAACTATACATCAATTTAAAGCAATATCCGTAGCCTGCCGTCATGATATATATATATATATATATAATTTTTTTTTACGAGAAACCACGAACCTCGAGAACAGAATACTGCATGGTAGAGGTGGTTGCAGACGCAACTGTGGTGGTGAAAACTGGAGCATCTCCGCCGACCTGAGGTCTCGGCTTCAGCGACACTTCAGAGCACCAAAAACTGGGGAGGAGTAGGCACAGGGGGAGGGGAGGGGGGGGGGGTACATTTATATAGAGGAAGGAAAAACGGAAAGATGATACATGTGATAGAGGAAGAAAATAAAAAATAAAAATAAAAAATAAATAAAATGATAAAAAATAAAAAAATTAATAAAAAAAGGGGGGAGCCAGGGTGCAAGCAGAGAGGGTGTTCAGGGAGTGTTCAGAGGGCATCTGTGGCTGAACGCCAGTCTCGGCTGCGGAGCGACTTGTAGGCGCCTTCATTGAATGCCTGCATTCCCTTCTGCGTGGGAAGGTTGCGTAGCAGGGCAGATGGGAGACGATTCCAGTCTTGGATCGTGGCATGGGGGAATGATCGGAGAGCACTATTACGGGCTCCGGCGGGCAGTGTCGGTGCTAGTTGGTGCTGGTGCTGGTTTGCAACTGCCCTCGGTGGTGTCATGGTGGTCAGGATTGGGGGACCGTCGATCCAATGCAGCTTGTACAGGAATGTGAGTGCTGCGACTTGACGCCGAACAGTGAGGCTTGGGAGGTATGACCCTGGGCCGATGAGCTTTAGGGCTCGGTGCTGTACCCGGTCCAGCTGGTTCAGGGTAGACTGGGACGCACCCAACCATGAAAGCGGGCAGTACTCAAGTACTGGGCGGACGAAGCCGCGATACACTGCATACTTGGCCTTGCTGTCGAGAATGGGCAGGGCCTTCCTCATGAAGCCAAGACGTTGGTGACCACGGACTGCAACCTGTCGAATGTGGGAGCGAAAGGAGAGGCTCCGATCAAAGAGCACTCCGAGCAACTTCAGCTCCTCCACTTCCTCTATGGCCACCCCATTGAAAGTGGCTGGAGGAATCGGCCAGGGTTGACGGTGATGCGAAATTGTCAAGACTTGCGACTTTGTCGGCTCGAATGCGATCTTCCAGCTCTGGCCCCATTCAGCATTATCATGGCTGCAAAAATCCAGACTGGTCATGACTTCGTAACATGCATAATGTACAAGTACATGTACATGTACACGGAGTTTTGCGGACTACCCGCCACTACATGTATCTCGTCCGCCCCAAGATACCTGATGAAGGCTGATTCACTCGCATCTTCTGCTACATGTACTGTGTCAGTGTGAGAAAGAACTTTGAAGAAGACTAGTTCGAGCATACAATAATGTATTGCCATGATTTCTACCCTGCTTTTCATTGAAAACACTATCTGCATGACCTCTGAACTCTTTGCCATGCAGACCACCAGCACTGATCAGGTGCATTGTACACAATGCATAATGTACAAATCCAGCCGGCCGTCAAAGCCTCATCCATGTATGTGTACGTGGCACTAAGAGTCGACAGAATCAGAAGAAGGAAAAGGATGATCTCTTTGTGCACAAGTCAAGGCAATGTTGACTAGCAATTCTAATACTTCGAAGCAGGATAATTGATCTGTAAGAAAGCAATCCACAATAGTAAATATATAAGTCAATAAATCAGAACTCTTTCAAACTAGTCGCAATGCAAAACGGTATACAATCTAGGACACAAAGAGTTTTCT